GATTTCCACGAAAAGATGCTAGGCTTTCATGCGTCGAAGGAGATTGTCTCGGAAACAGCGTCAGCAGGAATGTTCCAGTAAAGCCAATCGACAACTGGTCAAAAGGAATCGGCCGTCGTCTTCTGGTGGAGCCGACCTTCGAATCTCTTCACGCCCAACACTTTCACTCGAAATGGAAGTAAGCTCAACAATCATGAAACAAGAGATTCCTCGAAACCCAACTTTTCTTCGCAAATTTCATATATTTATGTTAATTAGTTTATGAGACTCTCATTGTGAGCCAGTCCCTCATTATTTTATCCAAACTAGAAAGAATAGAACTCTTATCCACAATTGCAGATCATTCTGAATCCTATTTAATACGCATGTATGGATTCGTTCATTATTGTCTGGTGAGATCGACTTGCGCTAACCCATGCGTGACGGAGACATTCAATTGAAATGAATTCACGCCAAAACTACCGATCCGCGACAGGAGATGAGAAAGAACAAGAAAGAGAGAATGATAGTTAAAACAAAAAAAGAGTCGTTTAGCTGAGCCAATCCTTCCGGAGGAAAATTCAAGATGAGTACAGATTCATCCGGAGATTGGCTCACGCAATTGTCGTGTGAAACGTGAAAGTTGGCACAATCCCACCTCGTACACGAGCAGTCTCTACGTCTGTCTGGCGCGCATACACACACGCGACATGCATGCCACATGTAACCGTGGTGCATCGTGTGCCGGTCGGCTCAAGAGGCCCGCCTCAGCGTCTGCTCCGCCCAGACGCCTGGGCGACATGTCGTCCACCCGGTCTCGACGCCAGAACGGCTTGGTGATAGAGTTGCCGGGTCCTTGTGTGGCCACATGTGAAGGGGTCATTTATCTTTCCGGTTCCGCCTCCGCCCACCCGTCACCTTCTTATCCGCCGCCCAGTCTCCCCCCATCACAAGACTGCCCTGGCTACCAGAGACACCGGTCTGTATCTGGGGCGAATTTTTTGGTGTTGCGAAGCCCCTGCCTCCTCCTCTTAACCTCTTCAAGTCAGTCGCGCGAGACACACGAACGAAGTGGTGCTTTTTTTCCTACCGGCAACCCGTTGACCTAACCACATGTCTCTACATGCAGCTCCGTTTCCCCCCATTTACATGCTCGGCCAGACAGGCCTCTGTTGCAGAACTTGTCGGCCCGGCGTGTGTGGCCAAGCCCCAAACTCCATCAACTTCCCATCGCCAAAAATGCCTAAAACACACCAATTGCATCATTATCGCTCCCAGGCCTGCCCACTCGTCTACCTCATGCTAGAGCCGACAGCCCTACAACTCTGGTCGGCATAGCAACACATCTGGCCGATACACTTCTCGCAGACTTTCTCCACTTGTACTTTTTGCTCTTCAGTCGATCTCCCTCCTCCTTTTCCTCATCGTCGTCATTATCATCGTCGTCGTCTTCGTTGTGACTTCTTGAATGTAGGCGCCGAACGGCCGCCTATCCAGACACTTGTTTTTTGTCGAGCACTTGTTGAGAGTAGCTATGGTGATA